AATACGTTACCATTGGAGTTACGTAATGCCTTAACACCCATAAATATTAAAAATAAGCTTAAAAGTTTCTTCTTGAAAAATTTAAATACTTAAGTTATTTTATTGTTAGTTTCTGTTAATTTCACGTTACCCCAAACATGTAATTCGTTAGCAAGTAATTAATGTACCGATATTGTTATTTAAGTTAGATTGCATTAACACAAACCTTAGTGGTTTAAAATGTGACTAATTCCTATTTTGTTAACTGTTTTGTTTTTAAATGGTAATAAAAAAAAAAAAAAAAAAAAAGATAATTTTCAACCTACAAAAAAAACACTTAAGGTTTAATTTCTTCTATACAATAGAAAAGCAGGCCATCAACATTCAACATCAACAAGAATAGGTCAAGTTGAGTAAATGAATGACTTACAAACGAACCAAAAGTAATTAGCTTCACTACCTAGTATCCATAATTTTGAGTTACATACTTTTTTTTTGGACCTTTCAATAATGTTATTGTCGCCTGCTGGGTCAGCATTTGCAGAATCTTGAGCGTTTTAGTAGGTTTATTAAATTCCCCATATCCATAAACATAAACACAAAAATGTTTAGAGATTACAATACTGTTTAAGTCGTTAATTGCTTGCAGTGACACTAGTCGCTACAAGTTTTTTATTTGAAGGCCAACTCACAACACTCACTGTTTTATGAAATTAACCAGCATTTCAAACTATGTCCCACATCTTTTCATATTAATTACAATACAATCACAAATTTCAAGACCACAGCTTAGTAATCGTAATAATTAAATACGCGGGCATCAGACTCCAACAAGTTTCGAGATCTCATGTCTCTTTTATTCTCGCGAGTAAAATGAAATATAAATGTGTTATTTCGTAAAAATTATTACCCAAATAAATTGAGTAGAAGTCACGACACAGACCAAAGCACAGATGAAATCATATTTCTAATTTAGTTATATTACTATCATAGCTGGCAACTTACAGGAATTAACTTTAAGTTTTTTTCCTGTAAGTCGGCGATTATCGCCAAAGTCATCGGTGTTTAAGAATAAACCGTACTAACTCAATTCGATGACAACTCGATAATCTTCGGGTTGTGGGCCGCCATTATTAAGTCGTATTCCACTATGTTTTTTTTGCAAATGTGTGCTGATGTGTGTGTTTTGATGCGAGCGAATTGATTTCATGAATGAAAACGGGACGATTATTCGTGCTGCCACTGGTTAAAATTCACCTTACGTCGTATTAATAAATTGTTTGAAATTTGGAATGTACGATTTTTAAGTGGTGGGCTATGCGCGCTGTCTTTTGAATATACGTGGAAAATTTTAGGCAAGCCGGTGGGAATCGAGTTATATGGACGCATCGAGTATATAACCAGAAATAGACACGAAATCAGGGCCATATATTCCTGGTAACACATTAGCGATACAGCTCTTATAAATATCAACTCTCGTGTGTACTGAAATATAGACAGGCCAACTACTGACCTGTGTGTACGTCTCCGTATATTCCAAAAAATATTCTGTGTTTATTGTAATAAAGATAATATCTCTAACAATGCCGTGCTCTTCTATTCGGTGGTGTGGGAAAAACAGCAAAACCTCTAATTACAAAACAAACGGAATCACATTTCATCGGTAATTAAATATCAAATATGTAATTTTGCAATTTTCGTCCATTGTAGCAAAGCTCAAGTTAACTGGCCGATTTGAAGTGAAACAATTGACGACACCCGTCAATTGTTTCGAACTCGGGCTAGCCAATCGGAGCGCAGTTGTCACAATAATGATATGGCAGAATAGTTTTCAAACAAATTAAATGACATTTCGTCTCTATATCTGGTTATATACTCGATGTATGGACGCCTCGCTACTGCTATCTATCTACTTGTTTTATTAAAACTATTCCTCCGGACAGAATTCCCATATATTAAATAAGTCGCCTCAGAGTGTTACGTGAGCCGTCACCCCGAGCGTTTCTCGTTTTCCATTTGTTCACCAAATTAATTACTTAATTAAATTATCAAATTCGTCATACATAAATAATAAGTTCTATCCGAATTTCGAGGCTATGTACCAGTATTACATAATTATGAGCTGGAAAATTTGTTTGAACAATATCATTTTGATTAATTAATAAATTTAGAATTAATGTGCTAGGTAATAGTCGTTTGTTCATTAACAATATACATCATTAAGATTAAGATTTAGAAGCAATAGAGCGCCTTGTGAAATAGTACGTCCAGTATCTACTGCCACCTTAATTACTGCTTCCCGGCTTTGAAGGGTAAGTAAGGGTGTTGGTGAAATTACAGGCACATGGGACTTGTCTACTTATGTTTCAGGGTGACGTACGCAGTGGTAGTGCCCCCAGATCTTTGCGATCTTTAGCTCTGAGTGGCACTGCAGTTGCGCTGTGGACAGGCGTACCGCTTACCACCTGGCGTATGACTTGTTCGTCCCGTCATTTATCAGTATCATAAAAAAAGATAGAATGTCGTCAATTTGTAATAACAATAATGCGACAGGCAACCACACCATAAATAAAAAATAAGTACCACAGCAACGGAATTCATTCTAGGTCACTTCAACAAACAAAGCACACAATCATAGCCCCCGCACTAGAGAAACCCTTTGTCGCGAGCCATGGACACACACACATGTAAACAACCACAAATTACACCAAAACTCATGAGAGAAATAAATGCAGACCATACATCTACTATCATATATCTTCCGACTCGGGAATTGTATCCGGGACCTCTGCATGGCAGTCCAGCGTGGTAACCGTTCGACCACGTAGACAGTTAAACTAGCCACGATGATGAAATGATTTTTTCGAAGCCAAATCCCGTGTATTGGTTTTTTAAAGAAAGCAACATTTTGGGCCTTTTACATGTCCCCATGGTCACATCTGACTGTGATGGTAAAGTCATCAACCGATTGTGTCCAATTTTTTTTAATAATTTCAAGTGTGGGACAATCAAGCCGTGCACCAGGTGTAAGCTACATGCCTTTCGCAACAGTTGCAGTGCCACACAGAGCTTTAAATCGCAAAGATCTGAGGGGCACTGCGCCCGTCACCCTGAGACATAAGTTGACAAGTCCATGTGGCTGTAATTTTACCCTTTAAAACCGGAACACAATAACACTCACATAACTGCTTGGCAGCAGAAATAGGCAAGGTGGCAGTACTTCACTGGACGAACTGTTTCACAAGAAGATCTACTGCTACAGCGCCCACTGTTTAAGCAGCTCAAATCACCGAAGTAGTTAAATTAATTAAAAGGGACGTACAAATGCATAAAGTAATTAAAGTTAAAATTAAACAGAGAGATAATCAAATAAAACATTGCGATACGAGCGTTGAACAAAAGACAATATAAATCTAAAATAACATAAAATGTTATAACAACCAACGATTTGAATAAAACAATAAACAAACCAAGGACAACAATTTAAAACAAATTCAATTTATACGGAGTAATAGCATTTTTCTAACAATAAATCTTTCAATCTCGTTTTAAACACTTTTTACATCTCTGTAACAAATTTCAAGTTTGAGTTACTCCAAATAAGTACTTGATCCAGAGAAACAAAAACACTAAATTGGCTTACACGATGCCATATTTGACAACCTCCGTCGGTCGAGTGGCTTACGCACCGATTTTTCATGGTGTCGTCATCTCTGAGGTCAGGACTGAGCTCGATCCCAGGCCGGCTCAATGTAGAAAAACTAACTTTTCTATAATTGTCTCTGGCCTGGGTGTTTGTGATGCCGTCGTTGTTTCCAATTTCCATATTATATGTGATATTGAAACTATACGGTCATCGAGCATAGTATACGGTACTTTTAAAAATATTTCGATCAGAAACAATTTAGTAAATATCATATCAGTTTCTACATTGGTTTAACAGACAAATGAAACCGTATTCATACGGCTCCTAGAGTTTAAATTGAGTCACTGAGGTCGTAGTAAGAACTGCGAGTGTGTCAAAAGTCTATTTACCGGTGTAAATAAATGAAATAAATAAATAACGCACACACTCAACATAGCCCCGCACTAGGGAAACCCTGTGTCGCGGGTACCATGGGGACACACATAGACAACCACAAATTACACCCAAACTCACGAGAGTAATAAATGTAGGCCATACAAATATTTCTCCCGGCCCGGGAATCCAACCTGGGCCCTTTTCTTTGCATTCCGGCCGTTCGGCCACGGAGGCAGTTAAATTACACTTGTGTAAAATCGAAACTTTTTTACATAAGATCTCCTTATTATTGTATCTCTTCCTCTCTTTAAAGAATTTGTCCAAGGAAGTACTGCCACCTTACAGCAGTTGAGGTCTCGGATAACGACTTCACGCATTAACTGCATGCGATCGAAACCGACTTCATGCAGCCGAGATCGACTGCATTCATTTCATGCGTGAAGTCGTTATCAATTTCATGCGGTCGAGATCTCGCTCCATGAAGTTGATTACGACCTCACGCATTGACTGCAAACATGCAATGAATCTGTTAGCAGTTTCAGTTTTGAAGCAAGTTTCGGTTTTGAATGGTAAAAGGTGTTGGTGAAATTACAGGCACATGAGACTTGTCAACTTTATATCTCAGGGTGATGAGTGTAGTGGCAGTGTTTCTCAGATCTTTGCGGTTTAAAGCTCTTAGTGCTAGTATAACTATTGCTAGACATGTCGCTTACCACCAGCTGCACGACTTGGTCATCCCGTTACTCGATAACTTGTAAAGTAATGTTGAATCGGTTTGAGGCGATCATGTTTTGGCACCTCGACGCGCTCGTTCGGGATTCGGCGCCGTCATTCAGCAACCACCTTGAAACGGGGGCTTGAAATGGGGCCTTCGCACCTTCGAAGTCGATTCCGTGTCGATATAGGCTATATTCTAATTGCTATACAAATATGTGTTTATTACTTACATTCAGATGCTACCGACGTCAAAACTAACCACTGTTATTCTTTTTCTTTACAGGTACACAGTGCGGTATAGTGAGATGAGTGACATGCAGTGAATTTGATCAACATGGCAGTGAACAGTCCCGGCGGGTATCCGCCTGTGTCTCCCAAACCACTCACACCCAAAAGCCCCCGCCATTTCGTCTTTCCCCAAAAGAGTCCTTCCTTCGCATCAAGCACGTCTTCTTCAGGGTACTATACTCCCCAGTCAGGCTGCAGCTATGACAAACAACATCCTCCAAAATCCCCTATCGCCCACGGTCATAGAAGTCCAATGAGCCCACGTCACTTTAACTTTCCTCAAAAGTCGCCATCAGGCAGATCCAGTCCTTGTAACTTCGAGAGAATCTCGCATAGTCAAGGATTGCACTATTCAGCTTCCCTAAAACACAGCCGCAGGGAAAAATCGCGCTCCCCAAAGCCACCCCCCGTACATATCACTACAAATCCTGGCTACGTGTCACCCAATCGCACAAGAAAATTGTACAGTTCCACTTCCACTGTCAGCTCACCACGTCTTGTGACGTCACCCAGTATTGTTTCCAGTCACACGGATGATTCCATGGACGCCATGCCTGGAACTCCGTCCGCAATAGCTCAAGATGCCGACGATGAAATGACAACGACGTCTTCGAGAATTTGCTGTCGAAAATCAACATCGGACCTGACCGATTTCACTGATGATACGCCACAAACAAGGTCCACAAGTATAAGCAGGCCATGCTCACCCATGAGAAGGGGTTCCATGAAGGGAGGCCTTGCTTACTTAGCCAGTAGACGCGGTTCCAGAGAATCGACGGTATCCAATTGCGATTCTGTCGAAGATATTGGTCCGCTCAACTTTCAGAACACGATGCGGGGCAGACAAAGACGGACGTCCAACTTTCTGGAATTACCAGGTGAGTAACAATGTAGCTGTAGCGGGCCACCCACTGGGAGAAATTTGACTTTTGATCTTTGTTTGCTCTCGACAAACTATGGACACATGAAACCGTAGGCTGATAGGTTAATAATGAAGTTTGAAAGGGCCCGACTCGGTTTAATTGCTTTTACATGTACATACATTATCTCGTAATTAAATTTTCTGCGAAACTGAAATCATGTTATATATGGCTTCGTCGGTTTTTAAAAGATGGTACTAATAGAAACAGTGAGCATTTGAACTTAATTGATTTTGCCTAAACAAGAAATAATTTTACCTACATTAGGAGTCTATACTACGTCAGCTCGAATTAAAACTTTTCCCGTACTAATATTGTATGTATAAAAGTATAAAAGTGTACATTTTTTAACCGACTTCAAAAAAGGGGGAGGTTCTCAATTCGATTGTATGTTCCTTTTTTTGTATGTATGTTACGCGATAACTCCGGTATTTGTGAACCGATTTTCATGATTGTTTTTTTTTGTTGGAAAGGGGGTACTTCCATAGTGGTCCCATTTCATTTTGAAGAAAATCATCCACCTTTAAGGGTGGCTGTACACGCATGAAGATTCATTTTTATAAATGGCGCCTAACTTTAATTTAGGAGCAATAATTTTAATGGTTGATTTTGCTATTACTCCAATTCAAGGCGTTTTTCTCTCAATATACTTTGAGTAGTGAGAACCGAATATTATTATCTCCAGTGTCAAGTCCTGTACAGTGGCGAACTGGGGATATTTCAATAAAACTTAGCAAAAAGACGTAATTGCATGTACTTTTGAGGTCCGTTTTCTTAGTAGGTACTCTGTACTGAGATTATTTGTAACATCAATGACGGGACGAACAAGTCTTACGCCTGATGTAAGCTACATGCCTGGCCATAACAGTTACAGTGCCCCTCAGAGCTTTAAATTGCAAAGATGTGATGGGCATTACTACTGCGCCCATCACCCTGAACATAAATTGACAAATCGCATGTGCCTGTAATTTCACCAGCACCCTTACCCTTCAAAACCGGAACACAATAATGCTGACATTACTACTTGGCAGCAGAAATAGGTAAGCTGGCAGTAATACCCTGGACGAATTCTTTAATAACGAGCTCCACTGCTACTACTATATACGTGTATATATCTATTTTATTTTATTTATTTCAGGCCACATAACCCTTATAATATATACCTTAAGGACTAACATACATACAAGTTAATAAAACACTAACTCTCTAACTCTCTCTCTCTCTGTCTAACTAATCAACACGAACTGGACTTGTCGGCGACGTGTGGCGATATAACACACCCTTAGGTCAAAATTCTTCCTTCATGAAGGCCGACAGATGTTCGGTCGGTACTCTCACCACAAACGAATTAAAATTCACGTAGGTATATCGTATCTATGTATATCGTATAGTATACGTGGTCTATTTAGTTCAGTTGATATAAAAAAAACCATTGGTATATGTAAATTACATATATATATATATATAATACAACGGTTTTCTTGTAAAATTTCGAGGTAAGTTTGTGTTTTTTTCTATTTTGTAAATTTTTAAGAATTGTGTTTTCACACCGTACATTAATCAGTGTTTATTCTCTATTTTTAACCGACTTCAAAAAAGGAGGAGGTTCTCAATTCGTCTGTATGTTCTTTTTTTTTTTTTTTGTATGTATGTTACGCGATAACTCCGGTATTTGTAAACCGATTTTCATGATTCTTTTTTTGTTGGAAAGGGGGTATTTCCATAGTGGTCCCATTTCATTTTGAAGGAAATCATCCACCTCAAATGGTGGCTGTTCACGCATGAAGATTCATTTTTATAAATAGCGCCTAACTTTAATTTAGGAGCAATTACTTTTAGCAATTATTTAGTTGATTTTGCTATTTCTCCAATTCAAAGCGTTTTTCTCTCGATATACTTTAAGTAGTGTCATAGTGAGAACCTATTTTGATTATTCCAGTGTCAAGTCCTGTATAGTGGCGAACTAGGGGATATTTCAATAAAACTTAGCAAATAGACGTAATTCCACGTACTTTTGAGGTCGGTTTTTTTAGTACTCTGTACTGAGATTATACTATATTTTTGCCAAAGTGATTGATTTAACACTTTCACTGTTATGCAGAATCAAGCAAAGCCATTTGAGGTGGTATAGACTCTGAAGCACGTTATTAAAACTTGCTTATTCCTGCTATATGAATATATAGCAGCAATTTTTTCTTAGTAATAATCATAATTCTCTAATTAATGTTCCGACCTCTTAAGAGTTTTATAAAGAAAATGCCATTAAATTATTTAGGTAAGAACATTTCCTTCGTGAGTCGAAGTTTTCCCATCTTTTAGCGAGCTTGCCGACTTGCCGCACCAACTTTTTAAGTACCACCTATAATTCAATAGATTTTTCCGAGAATCGGGATTATCTTAGGATAAAATCACATAGTTGTTGCGTAAATTTTGTGTATATCAAAAGTTTTAATCCTCCAAAACGCTTTCTGTTGTTTTTTACGATATTAGGCGATGAGCCAAACTAGGCGTGCGCCTGTTGGTAAGCGTCGCCTACCCGTAACAGCCCCATATCTTTCTACATAACTTTTTTCACACACATTACATTACAAAAAACAAATACATTTACGAGAATGAAAAAAAGAAGAAAAAATTAATAATTATTATTATTATTCAAAAATAAAACAGTAGAAAACTTAAATAAATAAAAGTGCCTCTCCCTATCAACCTCTTGGTTATACCGGAAGGTCACTATAACCTGTGCAAACAAGACGGCACAGGGATCATCTAAGTCAGGTTCTAACCCCAGATCAGCCCGTTTGTACGGACTTCATCCAGTTCTCAAAAGGTTAGTGCCTTCGGGAACACGTACAGCACCTTTCTATTTTCCAGATAGGTTCCGGAGTTGTAGGCAGGCTCACTTCCCGTTGCGCTCTGCATAATGAACGGTTATCTACCCGTAACAGTTACAATGCCATTCAGAGTTTTAAGCTCGCAAAGATCTGGGCAGCTTCCACTGCGCCCGTCGCTCTGGGACATAAGTTGTTAAGTCCCAATTTCACCATCATCCTTATCCTTCAAAACCGAAACGCAGTAATAGCCGAACTCTAACACAAGGAGCTCTACTGCGACTAAAGTGAAAATTTAATTATTTAATTCAGACCACACGACCCATATATATACCACCGACCACAGACCACTGGCCTGGAAGAAGCATTGAAGTTTTGGTTCACTTGGGTTCCAGAGGCTCAAATTATAATTCTCCTTACTACCATCAATTTCTGTAACTAATATGATACCTACGTACAACGTCTGAAACTGAAATTTTTCTATTCGATTGACTTGATTATAAGCAAACCTATTTGGCCTTTTACCACGTTAAATTCCACTAGAATATACAAGTCATCTTGCCAAACTTATTTTTATTCCTGTTGCCAGTTATGAGATATTCCTTAAACACATCGGAAACTTTAATAACTAGAATAATAAATCATCATCTTGAATGTTGCGAGAATCGCGTGTGACGTCACAATTGAAATAATAAATTAACAACAAAACTTTATACTAAAGGTTTACCATACAGCTTCTGCATTTGATGTCAAAAATCCGTGACCCGTTTAGCTCTTCCGTTTAGTTCTCTGAAATAATATTTTAAACGATAAATGTGTACAAATGTTTATTTACAAAGAGCAACTCCTAGAGTTTCTTGCTCATTCTTCTCAAGGGAATCTGCCTTACGAATGAGCTGTCGAGTTTAACCAATATGACGATTTTAAGTGTAATTTGCTTACCCATGAAAGAAATATTTTTTAACTTTGACTTTTCTTAATACGTTTCAAATGTACAGGTGAAAACCAAACAATTGAAATGTTGATTTCTACCGAGCTAAAGTAGAGAAATATCATTTAAATTTATAATTACGTCAGCTAGTTTACTTATTTTAATGACTCTCACTTAATTTTATAAAGGAGAAAGATTTTTCCCCGTAATGGGGTTTCTAAACTTTTCTTCTTACGCGGCGATCCATCTTGATTTCCTGTTTTTATACAATACATGTCCGTGTAACAAGTTGATGCCAAAACACAAGAAACTTATTCTGTACTTCACAACGAATAACTTTTGTTCTGTGATAGGAAATTCTTTGCCCATAAACAAACCTAGGGTTCCACGGGGTTCAATGGAAAGAAGTTTTGTAGCAGTAGACCTACTAAACATTCTTCCTTCCTTATTCATCCAGGGTACTACTACCACTACGCTAAGCAGTAACTGCATTCCGGTTTTGAAGGATAACGGCGCTGGTGAAATTACAGGCAATTGGGACTTGTCAACTTATATTACGGAGTGACAGGCCAGTGGCAGTACCCCTCAGATTTTGCGATTTAAAGCTCCGAGTGGTGCAGCAACTGCTATGGACAGGCGTGTCGTTTATCAACAGGCGAACGACTTGTTCGTATAATTTAGTATCATAAAAAAAGATAAACTGTCTTAATTCTTAATTTTTGTGCTGGTGATTAGTGAATGGCGTTCGCACACAGTTGTGATTATATACCCTCCTTGCTTTTGTGACTTTATTTTTGTTTTTAATATTAATGCATCTTATCCTGATTATAAAATTTTCTTTCACTGTTTTTGTTTTTTGTTGGTAGGTACTAAAGTTTACTGTTTTTTTTGTTTATAAAAACTAGAACTGTACTGGGTTTTATTAAGAAATTTATGAATGTACCAAAATTAAATGTAAACCACCTCTCTCTGTGTTCTACTATTAATATTTTATAAGCTTACTGTAATAAAAAAAAAGTTACTGTTGTTTTTAGACTACACACTTGACGGACGTAAGGCCTAGCTACGCATAGTACAGGGGATCCTAGTTTGGGAGCTAGGTACATAACTGTACCTATTTTTGTGTTTTGCAATAAAGGTTATTATTATCAAAAAAAAAAAGAATTTACAAAAGCCTTATATACCAGAGAACGCTCCAA